ATGTTTAAGAAACAAGTCTGACTTGACTTACGCTTATAATATATATATATATAAACAATGCAAAAAAATATTACATATATATATATATATATTTTTATTTTTTTATTTTTTATTTTTTTTGCATTGTTTAGTTTAATGCTAAACTTTAGGGATTAACATATTTTAAAAGTTCTTTTCATTACTGAAATAAATAAATAGTTTTATATACTGATATAAGAATATACTGAAAACAATAACATTGTGACATATTAATACAATTTAACCACAGAATAAATTACCCAAAAAAAGAAATGCTTTATTAAAAACATGAATGTAAAGTAATATAAAAATCAACTAACTAATCTTCTCTGCTGTAAAGTATTTTCTGTTCTAAACTTTCACTCTCAATGTCACAGAGATGATGTGAAAATGATCTTTGCAGAGAGAGACAGAGCAGTTCACACATTAGATTTGCACCTTGTAATTTGCACCTCTAAGCATACCTTTTGCCTAGAAAACTTTCTTAGAGTTTGCACATTTTCCTTTGTTCAGGACTTCAGTTGTCCTTTCCTGAGGCTGTATGCTCATGCGCTGCATCATGATAGGTCCTACATACAGCATGTTGTACATATTTGTACAAAAGCTGAAATACGACCAGGCTCATTCTGAAAATGTACCCCATATATTCTGAAGACCACCAAATATGTCCCAGGAGGTACAGTTATTTGCAGTTTTTGTTTTTGCAGACCACCAGAGGCCATTGTTTACACTTTTTGAGAGTTTTAAACTTCTCTAACGATGCCATTCTCGTGTAAATCTACCAGAGGCCTCTGTCGACTGACTGACTGACCCACCCTCCTCCTTCCCTAAACCCAACCAATAGTGTTTTCAAAAGCAACAATTGTCCCGCCCACCTCTTTCCCTAAATCCAACTAACAATGTTTTAAAAAAACAGCGCTTGACCAGCACCCACTCACTTCTCTAGACCCAACCGACAGTGTTTTCAAAAGCAATCCAGAAAAAGAAAAGCTCTTGAGATTTTTACCCCATTTTCAGATTTTACCTCATTCTCACTCTGTTCTTGTTTGTATTTGCTAAAATTTAAATAAAATCTAACAAAAGTATTATTGTCAGGCTATTTATTATTTCATAGGAAGATAACTTCATTTAGTTTTATATGTTTCAGCGCTCAGATGCTCTATTTAAAAGGAAATGTTTTAGATCAATTGTACTGTGAATAAAATGTAGAGTTAAAGTAAGTTAGAATTATTAGCCCTCCTGGGAATTTTTTTCTTTCTTTTTCAAAAATTTCCTAAATTATGTTTAACAGAGCAAGAAATTTTTTCCACAGCATTTCCAATCATATTTTTCTTCTAGAGAACGTCTTATTTGTTTTATTTCAGCAAGAATGAAAGCCGTTTTAAATTATTTGAAACCATTTTCAGGTCAATATTTTTAACCCCCTTAACAATATTTGTTTCGATAGTCTAAAGATCAAACCATTATTATACAATAACTTGCCTAATTACCCAAACCTGCCTAGTTAAACTTTTAAATTGGAATACTAGTATTTTGATTAAAAAAATATATAGTAAAATATTCTGTACTGTCATCATGGTAAAGATAAAAGAAATCAGTTATTAAAGATGAGTTATTAAAACTTATATGTTTAGAAATGTCTTATAAAAGTCTCTCCGTTAAAAATAAATTGGGGGAAAAAAATATACAGAGGGACTAGTATTTTAGGACGGCTAATAATTCTGACTTTGACTGTAAATGTAGATCAAATATAAAATTAAATGAATGATTCCATCAAAGGCGTGTGTGCTTTATTAGAAGAATAAGTCAAAGTCAAAGTCAGCTTTATTGTCAATTCAGCCACATGTACAAGACATACAGAGAATCGAAATTGCGTTACTCTCAGACCCAAGGTGCTTAACATTAATATAAAATATATATATAAAAATTTGGAAATGAATGCCAATAAATAAATGCCAATCTAGGCTAGAAGTAATATGCTTTAATATTTATACACTGAATTAACCACATACAATGTTCAGAATTAGCTGAAAGAAATGCCTCTAAAAATAACCCAGCAGACACGCAACGTCATAAGACGTTAATATTAGGTTAGATTTAGGTCGCCAGCATCAATGTTATATTGACGCCCAATAAAAACGTGAAACGGCGTTGACATTTTGTTGATTTAGGTTGTGTTGGAAAGTGACCAAAATTTCAACGTCGAGCCAACATCTTAAACCAAAGTCATATTGACGATAGATGCTGACATTTATTCACCAGGTATATGGCAACCAAAATCTAACGTCTGATAGACGTCATAGTGGTAACGTCCACACAACATCAAGCTCTATCATCATTAGACGTTGATATTTGGTTGATTTTCGGTTGTGTTGGAAAGCGACCAAAATCCAACGTTAAGCCAACATCTTAAACCAAAGTCATATTGACGATAGATGCTGACATTTATTCACCAGGTATGGCAACCAAAATCTAACGCCTGATAGACGTCATAGTGGTAATGTCCACATGACATCAAGCTCTATCATCATTAGACGTTGATATTTGGTTGATTTTAGGTTTCATCGAAAAGTAACCAAACTGCAATCTGATGTCAGTCTGATTTTCATTTCCAAACAAAATGCAACATCCCATGATGGTAGGGTACAACGTCAATCTGACGCCATTTTGACGTCCTGCGCCAGCTGGGAAAAGACTTGGGATGTGACTTGGACTGAAACTCTTGAATTAGACTCCACTTTAAAGACTTAAGTCTTGGCTTGGACTCAAAAGACAAAGCTTTAGAAGAGCTCCATGCATGAACTGTGTTCTGACTGACAGGTCCCTACATAGTGTGCATTGCTCTGTACTCCCCTATCTTTCAATGCTCTCTACCTAAGCATGAGAAACCTTTATTTCCTTTTGAAACATTCATTCACTCCCTTCAAAAAACTTGCTAAACCAGTTATAATTAAATCCTAAATATATAACTCAACCAAATACTATACAGTACAAAACACTGCACCAACCACCTCCTAAATGTCACGCTGTAGGCTACAACTTGTATTTATCCATCAAGGTAACAGAACGCTCTTTAATAAAACAACCTTATCTTCCACAGTCTTAAAAATGTCTCAAAATGTGTGTAAAAACAAGGCGCCAACTGCGAAAGGAGGCTAAGAGAGCTGTGTCACGCCGGCAACTGACAAAATAACTGCAGATAATTAGAAGCTTTTGTAGCGCGCCCGTCTTTCAACAAAGACACCTGCATTTCCTGCGAAGGGAGGCGACGCGCGCGGTGATTGTCATTTTTAATCTGGTTCTCCTGCGGGGCTCTCAGAGAGGCTGCGGGAGCCCGGTGGGTGTGTGAGTGCTGGGACGAGAATTCACACAGCGTTCCCCCAACTGTTTCACTCTGACAGGGCCCCCGCTGACGAATTAATCTGCACTCGTGCGCAGTCCGCGACAACATTTGAAAGTCTCGCTGAAAAGAAATCGGGGTGGGGGGAAAAAAGCAGTAGGGTCAGCTGTTAAACTGTAATTTGAATGTCTTTTATTTTAGCATAACAAATTAAATTAGCATGGGACTATCTGATGAAAGCAGCGTATTAGTGATCTTTTCTAGAGGCAAAAGAGGACGGATGTGTGTGAGTGAGTGGATAGCTTGATCAGCTTTTCCAGAAAATCCACATTCCTGTTAATGTACCATTAATAAACGTGGAAAAAAATCTGCCTTTAAGTCCTTAACTAATAATAATAATAATAATAATAATAATAAAACAAGTGTATACAAACAAACTAGACAATCTGATTAAATAAAATACTCAATATTAATAAAGGATTTATCATATAAATCAGGGTTAAATGCTGAATATAACCCAATCAGATTTTCCTCCTGGAAATGAATAAAAATGGATAAAACACTTTAAAAATACTTAAAAAAATTATATATATATATATATATATATATATATATATATATATATATATATATATATATATATATATATATATATATACATACATATATATACACACATATATATATATATATATATATATATATATATATATATATATATATATATATATATATATATATATATATATATATATATATATATATATATATATATATATATATATATATATATATATATATATATATATATATATATATATATATATATATATATATATATATATATATATATATATATATATATATATAGTGCTGGGCAATTATATTATTATTGTCTTTTATTTTAAAACTGTTTTCACAATTAATTGATGATTTTGATTGATTCATGATTTTTCTGTAATTAATTATGAGAGGAGCTATTAATTCCTGTCCTGGCGTCCCACAACTATAGACAGACAAATAGACAGACGGACGAACGGACAGACAGACAGACGGACGGACGGATGGACAGACAGACAGATGGATAGATAGAACAACAGAACAAAGAATAGATAGATAGATAGATGGATGGATGGATAGATAGATAGATAGATACTTTTTTAAGTTAAATTAATAGGACCAAATTTAACTCAATGTTTGGGTTATTCACTTTACCTAATTTGGGTTTAGGTGACCCAGCATTTTTGATACTCTAAAAATATAGTTTTTTTTCTTTTCTCAATAAATATTAATCGAATAAATAAATAAATAAATAAATAAATATCCTGACGTCCCAACGCGATAGACAGATCAATACAATCTCACGGCAATTCGTAACTTTTTTATTAAGTGGCTAATTCGTATTCATTTGTACGATCTAATTCGTACAATTTAGTGTGATTTGCTCATCACCCAATGACGGTTAGGGTTAGGGTTGGGGTTGGGTGCCACGCCTCCTTTTTAAAATCATTCATTTTCAAACGACTAAAGAAAACTGACAAAATGTAAAATTTCCATTTACGTTTCCTCGTGATCAGGCTAGATAGATAGATAGATAGATAGATAGATAGATAGATAGATAGATAGATAGATAGATAGATAGATAGATAGATAGATAGATAGATAGATAGATAGATAGATAGATAGATAGATAGATAGATAGATAGATAGATTTGAATATGAATATGAAAAGATGCTACTGTCCTCTGGATGCTTGCAGATTAGTGAATGGTAAGCAACATTTCCTCGACACTGTTCCAGCCCTTAAATTCAGGGTCCGCTGTCACAATGACACAGAAAATAATATGATCGAAATTCATTGGTTACTGGATGATACACCCATGAATAATCAGTGAGGCAAACAATCACTTGGTCTCCGGTGCCACTTGCAGTCCGTCTGTGTGGCTGAATTATTGAATAGGAAAAGCCATGTTGAAAGGTCAGACAGCCGTGGTCTGCTTGATGCTGTGAAAGCTGATGCGGGTGGGTGATGTGGGAATGGACATCGCTCTCGCCACTCGCACCCGCAGCGCATGATTATCCTGCCATCGATGCCAGCGCTTTCTGGCTGCAGACCGAACCTGTCAAGAGGAAACATACATTAGATTTACTATTCAAAACAGCTCTGTCTTTCAGCATTTTTATAAGCATTTTCTGCTCATTGTGGAGGACAATCTGCTGAAATCCATAAAATATAAATATATGATTCACGAAAAAAGTTACAACCATTATTAGATAGAGAGACAGACAGAGAGACAGACATACAGAACCATAGATACAGATAGATGGATGGATGGATGGATGGATGGATGAATGGATGGATGGATAGAGAGATAGATAGAACAACAAAACGATAGATAGATAGATAGATAGATAGATAGATAGATAGATAGATAGATAGATAGATGGATGGATGGATGGATGGATGGATGGATGGATGGATGGATGGATGGATGGATGGATGGATGGATGGATGGATGGATAGAGAGATAGAACAACAAAATGATAGATAGATAGATAGATAGATAGATAGATAGATAGATAGATAGATAGATAGATAGATAGATAGATAGATAGATAGATGGATGGATGGATGGATGGATGGATGGATGGATGGATGGATGGATGGATGGATGGATGGATGGATGGATGGATGGATGGATAGAGAGATAGAACAACAAAACGATAGATAGATAGATAGATAGATAGATAGATAGATAGATAGATAGATAGATAGATAGATAGATAGATAGATAGATGGATGGATGGATGGATGGATGGATGGATGGATGGATGGATGGATGGATGGATGGATGGATAGAGAGATAGATAGAACAACAAAACGATAGATAGATAGATAGATAGATAGATAGATAGATAGATAGATAGATAGATAGATAGATAGATAGATAGATAGATAGATGGATGGATGGATGGATGGATGGATGGATGGATGGATGGATGGATGGATGGATGGATGGATGGATGGATGGATGGATGGATGGATGGATGGATGGATAGAACAACAAAACAAATGATAGAAAGAAAGAAAGAAAGAAAGAAAGAAAGAAACTGGAGTAGATAAAACTGGTATAGTACAGTGCAGAACATCATTTGGCAACTAAACAGAGAAGTGAAGGAGATTAAACAGCAGACTAATCAAAAGAAAAGAAGAGACAGGCAGAGACAGCCAAACAAGTGGCTGCACACGCCGAGAGAGAACAACATAAACAAACAAATGAGAGCTGAGAGACTGAGATCAAAACGCCACTTGACAATATGAACCACACCTCCATCCTACAAGCTTATGCATGACATTAAAATCCATGAGAGCAATGCACAAAAGCCTCCAAAACATAGCTGAACACGAGGCTGTGTATAAAAGCGTTGTATAAGAGACCCTGTGTACCAAAAGTGTATTGTTAGTGCACCAAGAACATAACGGCCAATCCAATAAATCAAACAATGGTTTAGTGTGGCTTTGCTGCCTCGGGGGCTGAAGACTGTGTTAAAAGAGAAACACATTGAGACATTTCTCAAGAGATTTTACAGGGAAATGTCATGGCAAACGTTCATGGCTTTAAACTTTAGAAGGGCTGGGTGATGTAACAGAAACAATAAATGATCCAGTAAATCGCTGAAAAACAAGTAAATGAAGGCTTGCCTGAGACTTGCAGCATATAGATTAATATAAAAAAGTCACCCTTTTATTCAGTGTCCAGTACAATTAACTAAAACTTTTTGCTCCTTTATTTCCTATTCAACCTTTGGCTCTCCAGGACCGAGTTTGGGCACCCCTGCTCTGACGTTTACTCTGGACTTTCTCACGTTTATTGTTAAGTATTTAATAAAGTATATTTTTCTGATATTCATAATCAGATGCTGCCTTTGAAGGATGCATTGTAAGTAAAGTAAGTAAGTAAGTAAGTAATGAGGTGAAGTAATTAAGTAAAGTAAGTAAAGTATGTAATGAGATAAAGTAATTAAGTAAAGTAAGTAAGTAAAGTAAAGTAAAGTAAATTAAAGTAAGTATGTAAGTAAGCAAGTAAGTAAAGTAAGTAAGCAAGTAAGTAAAGTAAAGTAAAGTAAAGTAAAGTAAAGTAAAGTAAGTATGTAAGTAAGCAAGTAATTAAGTAAAGTAAGTAAGCAAGCAAGCAAGCAAAGTAAGTAAAGTAAAGCAAGTAAGTAAAGTAAGTAAGTAAAGTAAGTAATGAGATAAAGTAATTAAGTAAAGTAAGTAAGTAAGTAAAGTAAAGTAAAGTAAATTAAAGTATGTAAGTAAGCAAGTAAGTAAAGTAAGTAAGCAAGTAAGTAAGTAAAGTAAGTAAGCAAGCAAGCAAGCAAAGTAAGTAAAGTAAAGCAAGTAAGTAAAGTAAGTAAGTAAAGCAAGTAAAGTAAACAAGTAAGTAAGTAAAGTAAGTAAAGTAAAGTAAAGTATGTAAGCAAGCAAAGTAAGTAAAGTAAGTAAAGTAAAGCAAGTAAAGTAAAGTAAGCAAATAAGTAAAGTAAGTAAGCAAGTAAGTAAAGTAAGTAAGTAAAGTAAAGTAAGCAAGTAATTAAGTATTTCCTATTCAACCTTTGGCTCTCCTGGACCGAGTTTGGGCACCCCTGCTCTGACGTTTGCTCTGGACTTTCTCACCTTTATTGTAAAGTATTTAATAAAGTATATTTTTCTGATATTCATAACCTCCAGATTGAGCTTGATTAATGAATGGAAAGGCCGAAACCACGAAACAACATGCAAAACTTGTTGCACAAGCTTGCGTTTCTGGTCTGGCACATTCGCATGCTTATGAATGGAAGTCAGTAGGGGGAAAAGTGCATTGTGATGTCAGCTTATTGGAATAAGCTGGCAGACACTTTACCCACACACAGTGAGTGAGTGCATTTGTCTATGGCTTATGCAAAGCTTTTGGATGCTACTTCTTGATGTGGATAAGTGGAATCTGGACTAGCAGAAGCACAATCTGAATTAGACGCATGCTTATAGGTCAGTCAAAATGTGTAACCTTTTCCCCATGGATTGTATAGCAGATTTAAAGTCATCAGCTTTTTGCCCCATTCTTATGCTTGATTTGAACTTGAGCAGATTCAGACCACATTGGGTCGATGCTCTGTGATTTGCTGATTATATTTTTGTGTTAATGAGCAGTTGAACATGTGGAGGCACTGATATGGGTGCGTCCAAAAGTGGCAAGATGCTGCCTCTGAAGGATGCATTGTAAGTAAGTAAGTAAGTAAGTAAGCAAGCAAGTGAGTAAAGTAAGTCATTCATTCATTCATTTTCCTGTCGGCTTAGTCCCTTTATTAATCCAGGGTCGCCACAGCGGAATGAACCACCAACTTATCCAGCAAGTTTTTACGCAGCGGATGCCCTTCCAGCAAGTTTTTACGCAGCGGATGCCCTTCCAGCCGCAACCCATCTCTGGGAAACATCCACACACACTCATTCACACACACACTCATACAATTTAGCCTACCCAATTCACCTGTACCGCATGTCTTTGGACAGTAGGGGGAAAGCGGAGCACCCGGAGGAAACCCACTTGAAGGCAGGGAGAACATGCAAACTCCACACAAAAACGCCAACTGAGCCGAGGTTCGAACCAGCGACCTTCTTGCTGTGAGGCGACAGCACTGCCTACTGCGCCACTGCCTCGCCAGTCAAGTAAGTAAAGTAAAGTAAAGTAAAGTAAGTAAAGTAAAGTAAGTAAAGTAAAGTAAAGTAAAGTGAGCAAGTAAGTAAAGTAAGCAAGTAAGCAAGTAAGCAAAGTAAGTAAAGTAAGTAAAGTAATTAAAGTAAGTAAAGTAAGCAAGAAAGTAAAGTAAGTAAAGTAATGTAAGTAAGTAAGTAAAGTAAATAAGTAAAGTACGTAAGCAAGTAGGTAAAGTAAGCAAAGTAAGTAAAGTAAGCAAGAAAGTAAAGTAAGTAAAGTAAAGCAAGTAAGTAAGTAAAGTAAGTAAAGTACGTAAGCAAGTAGGTAAAGTAAGCAAAGTAAGTAAAGTAAGCAAGTAAGTTAAGTAAGTAAAGTAAGCAAGCAAGTAAGTAAAGTAAAGTAAGCAAGTAAGTCAAGTAAGTAAAGTAAGTAAAGTGAGTAAAATAAAGAAAGCAAGTAAAGTAAGTAAAGTAAAGTAAGTAAGCAAGTGAGTATGTAAAGTAAGTAAGAATGTGAGCAAGTAAGTAAAGTAAGTAAATTAAAGTAAAGTATGTTAAGCAAGTAAGTAAAGTAAGCAAGTAAGTAAAGTAAGTAAAGTAAGTAAAGTAAGTAAAGTAAGTAAAGTAAAGTAAGCAAGTAAGTAGTAAGTAAGTAAGTAAAGTAAAGTAAAGTAAAGTAAAGTAAAGTAAAGTAAAGTAAAGTAAAGTAAAGTAAAGTAAAGTAAGTAAGTACAGGGCAGGGAGGGAACAAGTCAGCTATCTAATGCTGGGCTCACACCAGACGTGAACCACAGCCCACTTGCTCTGATTTACTTGGGGAATGTTTTTTCCCTAATGAGTGGTTGAGCTCAAGCGCATCAAATAAGAAGTTTCTTGAAGGGGGCGTAGCATGCGTGGCTAGAAAGCATTTGATTGGTCAGAAGATTTGATGAGAAGCTTTATTTTATTTGAACTCTACAGCACTTTTAAACACACCAACACGTTTACCTCCACATGGACAATTCTTCTGCTGCGATCAGTTTGCCTGGACGCACTTTAGAAGACGGCTTATTCTTTATTTCAGAGGTTTCCACAGAGGAATGACCTACCAACTATTCCGGCATGTTTTACAAAGCAACTGATGGCCTTCCAGCCATACTAGAAAGTACTAGGAAAACACCCATACACTCACATGCACACAGTCATACACTACAGCTAATTTAGTTAATCCAATTCCCCTATAGCGCATGTGTTTGGATTGTGGGGGAAACCGGAGCCCCCAGAGGAAACCCACGCCAACACTGGGAGAACATGCAAACTCCACACAGAAATGCCAACTTGCCCAGCTGGGACTCGAACCAGTGACCTTCTTGCTGTTAGGCCACAGTGCTAACCACTGAGCCACTGTGCCTCCCAGCATGTTTATTTTACAAGAATTACATCGAT